TCTGTCACCCTCGGGTCTTTCTCATCTCCTGCTTGCTCTTGACAGTGAAAATGGATAAGAAGGCTTGGCACAGAATAGATTATTTCACATGTAAATGCAAACACCAGTGATATCTAGAGATGTGAAACCCCACTTAATCTGTTAGTCAGTTAAACATTAGATTGACCTAACGTTTAACCGGTTAACCGACTAAAGCAGACTCCAAGCCAGGGGATGCTACAGCCCGTCGGAGCAATCAGCCCCCATGCTAGCACTGGCTTCACTGCAGACCGAGGCTGCTTCGTGGCAGCAACCCTTGATCAGATAGGGGCTGCTACTGGAGAAGCCTCTGTCTGCGGCCAGCCCAGGCCACTGCAACCAGAGGCTGCTTCTGTGCAGCCTTCCTCAGCCCCCAGCAGCCTCTCCCCATGGACAGGGACTGCCGCCACACTGCGCTACTGCCTCTGTATTTGAGGGAGTGTTTTTTAAACTGGCTCCTCTCGTGGACCGGCTACTGCCTGGCACACTGTGCTGCTGCCTCTGATCTAGAGAGCAGCGTGGGATGGCAGAGGGCTCCCTGGGAGTGTGGCTAGATTGCACTGGCTGTCAGCCCCAACCCTGGGGACGACAGAATAGTCGACTAACCGCTAACAATTCATGCAGTTAGTCAACTCTTCAGTTAACCGTTAGCTAACATCCCTAAGAAACAGGGAATGCGGAAAGAATACTTGGTACTAATTTTGTGTAGCATGGACTAAAGTGAGGCAGGTGTGGTCATTTACCATGTGTGAAAACCCCACAAGGTTTTCACTGCATAAAGTCAGGAAATTCAGAGGCCTGTCTTGCAAGAATCAAAAGCCAATCCAGGCAAGATAAACAACAGAGCTGGACAATGGCATGCCTTGACCATCTCGGCCTGATTCTAGCCAAAGGCAGCTGGACTGTGGTGTCTTAATGGCACCAGACAGCAAGTTGGTTCCCTGAGAATGAGCCTAAGAGGCCAGAAAGTGGTGTCTGGTCGCAGTGACCTTAGAAGCCTAGAGGAGCCTGTGTTTGGGTTCAAATGCAGCAGTTTGGTTAATGTCCAGTAGGGGGAGCCCGACCAGGCATGTATGGGATGGTGTGGACAAGCTGTTGTAGTTTTAGTGAGAAATCTCCAGTAGCCCCCAAAAACGAAGGTTCCGTCAAGTCTAATACAGGTTGAAACTCTAAACCGGGACTCTGTGGTCCAGATGTTGCTAGACCAGAGAGTCCTGGTGGAGGGCCAGAGGCAGGAGCCCTCTGGGTGCCAGGAGCCCAGCCCAGCTGGCTGCAAGGGGGCTGGTTGCCAGGAGCCTTGCCACAGGGATCCAACTGAGCTGGCAGCAGGGTGGTCGGAGCCCCAGAGGAGGGGCAGCAGTCAGTTAAGGCAGGGGGGCCATGGTGGAGCTGGGAGCCTCAGCAGAGGGACCCACGGGCCCCCACAGCAGTGCTGGTGGGGCAGGGAGCCCAGCACAGCAGAAGGCTGCTGGCAGAGTGGCTGGGTAGGGGCCAGGGGGGAGGCCGCCGGCAGCCGGGGCAAGAGGAGCTGAGCTAGGGGACCAGAAATGACCACCTCTGGTCTGGCAAAAATCCCTTGTTCGGGACCAGTTAGGTCCTGGGGGTGGCAGACCAGGAGCTCCAACCTGTAGTGACAACCAGATTATTGTGAACACGTGTGTTACTTTGAAGCTGAGACACAGGCTTGCACACTATACTTCTAGTAGACTCTTGTCTTGGAATGGCCTTGAATGACCACTTCTTCAGCTTCTTCCTCCATAGACTGCTGCAGCTTAGAGATCAACAGTAGCAAATGGAGGGGTGCTACTAATGCTGCTAGTTTTCAATTAACAATTATTCAAACCAACTGGAACCTAAGTGTTTTCCTCCCTAAATATGAAAGATGAAGTTATACAGAGTAGTTGGGTTTTCAGCTAAACATCAGTGGAGTTTTATTTATTCACTTGACAGCATGTGCTTCTCTCCTCCTCCTGAAGCACATGCAAACCTGGAAATAGTAACGCAGGCTATGACTTGACTACATGGGGTTTGCCTTGGTTAGGGACATGGGTGCAATTCCTACTCTCAGGCACACAGTGTGAAGGAAACGTTTGCAGGTGTAAAATTGTCTGTGGGCAGGGCGGATGACCAGTCTCATTGCATTGCCTTCATTGTACCTAGATGAGCTGATACCTGGTTCAGTGGGCCAGAAAGAACCATGCGTGCTTGTTTTGAGTTGGGTACGAATGCACTGTCTTGCCCTATGGCCGTATTACAAGCTGACTGCTGATGCCTATGTTTCTTTCAGAGACCGTTGATAACTTGACCTTTGGGGCTGGGGTCAGTTACATCAGCCTGACACACACACCTGCTTCAGCTGAAGGCAAGTTATTTTCCTGCTCCTAACTTTTAAAAAAAATCCAATGGGCATTTTTAACTTTCAAATGTCACTTGCAGAAAAAAAAGGATCCCAAGATCAACAAAAAGATGTTCTCTGTCTGATGTCACCTGATAAGCCGTAAGTTTAGCCCAGGCCCTAGTTACCAGTGGCTGTAAGTAATACAAGTGTCTTTAAAAATAAACAGTTGTTTCCTTTCTGTAGAGGGCCCCTGCCTCGTCAGTGGAAGGTAGAATCTCCATCCAAGAGAAAAAGCAGTCCCGTTCCAAGTCTAAGGAGATCCCAGCGGAAAGCTCCCCTCAAACCAGCCAACTGATACTTCCCCATCCACACACTGTGTGCTTCTGAAACACTCTTGTATAGCATCTCATCATGTTGACCATGAATTCTTCTTGCTTCTACAGCTATAATTATGTATCACTGCGTGTACCGGTGTCCCTCCTTCCCCGCCTTGTTTTTATATGTGGATATTTGCACACACAGGAGGAGTTTGCTTTGATTTATAAAGTGGTGAGTTTGGAGCAGTTAACGACATTCTTTGCAGTAGGACAGCAGCCACTAAGCTGTTGTATGAAATGATTCGCTGTTCACTGCACAGAATTTATAAGCTTGCCCATTTTGAAATGTCAGGCTGTCCTGGCCATGAGCTCTAGTCCATTTTAAATGGAGCCATTAGGAATACTGGCTTGGTTGAGACTGGTATGTTTGTTACAGCTTGCTACCATACATGACCGGAATGGCTATTGGCTTCAATCAGCCTCTTGGCGTCCTGCTGTTCCCTGTTCATAATACACCAGTTTCCACATTTTCTACAAATATAGAATAGCTTGAAACTACTGTACCTGCAAATCTGATGTAATTTCAAGTTATTAAGGATGTACGCATGGTGAAAAGTCAATTCTATGTATATATTACAGCCTTCCTTTCTTTCCTGAATGGAGTATTTTTACTCTTGGACCAAGTTCTTATTTCCAGCTGTTATAATTTTATGAAAAATAAATGTTTAGAGAACAAATTCCATCCACCTCTCAGCGTTTCATGCTTTAATAGAAGGAAACTATTTTCACTTAAAATCTCTAGCCTTACTGCATTTACCTTCAGTGATGGGCAACTTGCAGCTTAACAGCCGCATGTGGCCCGCTAGGATTCTGTACGGCCAGTGAGACACTTTGCTCTTTTCTACGTGCAGGGTTGCCAGATTCTGCTGGTTTCCGTCGGTTTTTTCCTCCTGGTATTACAAACGTGACACACACTTCCAGCAAGGGAATGTGAAGTGAGGTGCATGCTGATTGCACGCAACTATGAGAGCCAGGTGCTCCCTCTGCAGCCAATCAAAGTGCTCCTATGGTTCAATCTGCCCGTGCTGCAAATTCTAGCCATGCAAACGCAGTGAGCAAAACTACCCTGTCCCAGAAAACTGGCTTGGTTGTGCCAATCTTCCCACTAGCCTCAATTGCCCCTTACTGCCTTATTTCTTGCCCCCTGCTTTCATCTCTTTCATGCCTACAGTGAAGCTCTACTGTTCTGGCAGTCATCCCAACAGCTGGGGCGCTCAGCCATATGAATACTTGAATTCCTGTGGGAATCCCCACCCATTAGGAGCAGCTGCTTGCAATGTCCCAATTCTTATTATCACTGTTTTTCAGGCCAAATAAAGCCTCTACCATCAGCCAACTGGCATGACTTACTCATGCATTCAGTACAGCTTCAGCTGTCGGAACGGCAGATTTTGAACATGATCTTATTCATTTCACTGAAAACAGGCGCTGCATGTTTTACTGGGGATGGTAAGTCATGTTGAATTTTAGAGCTCAGTACAAAAAAGCTGTTTTGTTCTGTGCAAAACACTAGTGAGAACGCTGGAACTGCATAGTTAAGGTTGAAAGACCAGCCTTCTTCATGCCCATGTGTACGTGATTGAGCTCTTCTGCTGCTCAACTTCAGAACTGCTGCCCTACCCTTGCATTACATAACTGTCTGAAGATTTCAAACTCCAAAACTGAAGTGACAGTGCATTTTGCTACAGCCCTCCATAAGCATTTACTACTTTGCTAATAAGGCCAGGACTGCCCCAGCACAAAAAGAAATGGAAAAACTGAACCAGGAGAGGGGCAAAACTCAACTTCCATTTTAACCTTACCGATATTGTGGTCACTTTCAGGATTCTGCTTTAAGAAAGAACTTAATCTGAATTAATATAGTGAGATGTACTGAGTAAATTCCAAGTGGTTTTGAGTATGACTACCTTCTTTTTTTATGCTTTCATCCGACATTCCTCCCCCTAATTAATTAGGTATATTAAACAGTAAGAAAGCAATGCGTTTTAAATTACACTGAGGCTAGATCAAAAATAAAACTTATCAGAAGTTTTCTTGAATTGTCTTTGACCAGAAACAGCTATAACACAATGGGAAATGATCCATCTCCTCAAGAGAAGAAATGGAGGTGGAAAAACTTTCCACAATAAACCGAATGATTTAAGTATTTACATGTGTTTTGTAACTTCTTTGTAAGTCACCAAATGAAGTAGACAAGCAATCTGTCAGAAAACAGAAGGAATCTTTCCTGTTACACTGAATTCAAAACAAACACAGGTTAGAATAAATAGAATTTAAAAAAAAACAGTACAAGGATGTTTTAATACCTAGATATGTATGTAAAACATTCTTGGCAAGTTAAATGTAATACATTAGTACAAACCTGCAGATTAAACTATTTACAGCAAGTTCTGTAAATCAAATAGGCTGAGTTATGTCTTGGAGGGGGAAGGGTCCTTTTATCCCACTAGAGATGCCACTGTCACATTTTTAGAGCTGAAAAATAAATCTGTAGTATTCACCATGCATGCTGAGTCTGCTAGCTGAGAAATCCTGCCTCTGGTAAAAGGTTAAAAGTGTCAGACGTACTCCCTATAATGCCAGAAGCTATGAATGTAAGCTTTTTTTCCCTCTCTTCATCTTAATGTTCTATAAGCAATATAAAAAAAAAAGGAGTCGTGGATACAACTGGAGGGTAAAGTGTGTTAAATTATCCCATTCTCAAGGGACAAAATTCAGCCAATAGACAGGAATACCCAGTTTGGGTGAAGATCACATCTTAAAGGTAACTGTAAATCAATTGTGAGGTGTCCCTACCCTCTGGAGAGCACACCCATATTACTGCTACCTCATCTATACCTCTGCTTTTGAAAGCAAGTGAAGGAAGTGTTGGGACTAAATTTAAATAAATGCAGCAATGGCATGTCCAGCAAGGCCCCCAAAAATCACTCAATATGTGGTGGAAAGTCCAAGGCAGATTAATACAGAACACAACAAAAAAAATAATAACACTGACAGTCCAAATTGTCAAGTATTCAAAATACTGTATGCATCAAAAGGTAAGACAACTCAATTTATATTTGAAATAAAACACTAAATTATGCTACATTAAAATCCATTCTTCAATCACAGCACTGAACAGCTCTAGTGTTGCATCTACATTTAACATTTGCCCAATGCCATAAGTGTACATCTCTGAATGCAAGGAATTCTATACGATCCCTTTAAAGACAAGAAAGTGGTAGCACCTACCATCTAAGAAGTTATAACTAACGTCTTGAAAGCAGTTTTCTATCAAGCTTTTTGCTTTCAGAATTCCAGAGCTATCTGCCCCCTACCCCTTGCTATGCAATCTAAAAATTCTCAAGAGATGGTGTAGCTGCCAAATTTTGAATGAGCTTAAAGAACTCGCAGAGAGATTGATCTTCGGCAACCATTAGTCACTCTGTCACTTGGTCAGAACTGAATTCAAAAATCTTCACAGGATAACTCTTGCAAATGGGCACTGGTCTTTTGCAAGAAAACAGTAATTTGAAATATAAAACTGAATTAACTTCTGCCTTAAACTTACAGAAAGGATCCCTGAGTGACTCTATAGCCTATAAGACCTCTCTTGGCAAGGAAAATGTTGAAGCTAGCTTGGGAGAAAGAGGATGCTTCTCTGGCCACACTTGGTAAAGTTGCTTGTGCTGCACTCTGCAATAATACTGATATGCTCTGATACTGCCATGCTGTAGCAGCATTTGAGCTCCTGGCTGCCGTTTAAAAAGGACTTGTATTTAAAAAAATAACTATATTATTTAACACTGTTGGCATAACATATTTACATTTTAAATAGAAATGCTACGTTCGCTGAAGTAATCAAAATATATCTTTGCAAAAATTTAGAACACAGAATTTTACAAAATCAACGGCGTCTATAGAAAAGCTTGAATTCATCTCTGTACTATTGTGAGAATCAGCTCACGAAAGTGGTTTTGGCTTTAAATGTCATAAAAGGGAGATCTTAATGCTAAGATTCTACAGGGTAAGAATCTTAAAAATATTTAAACAGCTACACAACAGGCAAGCCTGCTTGGTGCAAACTGGAATTAAAAGCTACCTGCATACAGGGAAGGTTTTTTACGTAAAACTGAACAAAAGCAATCTTTGCACGTGCGAGGGGGCAGGGAAACCGGAATTCACCACTGCTGCAGAAGGGGTTAGAACTTCAAAGCAGTTGGTTGCTTGTACTACATCTTCACCCATCACTGTGGGCTTGATGCAGATTCCATCTCCACATCTACAGAATCAAGCCCAGATTGGAGTGCCTAAATCCCACAAATCAAACATCGGAGGCCCACGCTACATGCTCAACTGGGGCCAGTGAATGAATTCAGTAGCCTGTGTGGCTCATGCTCAGGAGCTCTGTGGAAATGTAGTTCTGACAGCTCAGCCTAGCAGACCTTTAATGATAAAATTACACAAGGGAGGGCATGAAACCCTCACTTGCGGAGCTGGTAACAGCACAATTGTGTTACAGCTGTAAAGGCTGCCCCAAGCCTAAACATTGAGCTGCTATGCAGAAGATTCTCCCCTTTTGCAGATGAATCTTGATTAGAATCTATTGCCACATCAGCACCTTTTGTCTATTGGGTCAAGATGCCCATTTACCTAAAGCTTCTCCCCTGTTTGGCCTGGACATTCTGGTTGCACCCCAGGGAGAAGGCAGTTCCAGGAGCATCTGCAGCTCCGAAGGCTACAGCTTTGCGGAGGGAAATGCTCCATCTTAGGGAGGGTAACCGCTCCTCAGTGCAAGGGGGGGTGTTAAGTGGTCCAGGTGGTATCTCTGGGAGAGGAAAAAGACTGAGTTCGGAGGTTTGGAGTGAGTGGTGTTAACTTTGGCAAAAAAAAGTCAAGTCTGTGTGTTTTCTAAACTCTTCCAAGCGCACTTTGTTCATCTTTTTGCTCTTGCGTTGAGTTCCTGTGGGAGGTATTTTCATACTTGTTCGGGATGCTTTGCAATCTTCTTTTGGCATCTCAGATAACAAATGACGATTTGTGTCTGAAGTCACCCTGCAATGAAAGAGTAACGGGTGGAGCAAAATTCCCCACGGATCGCCTGGTACCTTCCTGTCCGCTCTCTCCAACCCAAATCCACCCTTGCAAACCAGGTGTGATTTGTGTAATCTTGTTTTTCCCCCCAAAATCCCATCTGGGCCTCTGTCTCATTCCGTCCTGTAGAAGCTGGTAAGGACGAGTGTCCACCCATAATACCCAGCTCCTAACGTTTCCTTTCAAATGATCCCATCCAATGCAGAAACTTCCTCTCCTCTCTCCCACTGCTTCTTTGGGGTCCCTGCCCACAGAAAGATTAGGAGAAGCCTAGGATGAAATACACTAGTCTCTTACATCACCAGTATGGACTGTCTGATTAATCCAGAAAAGCTCATCCCATGGGAGGCAGTCAGCTAGCTACTTAAACTAGAACAGAGCTGTCTTTGATACACTGGGGGTGTCCCTGAAGACAGGCAGTTGCCTAGTACGGGTGTTGTCCTGGACAGACTTGATTAATAGAGTATACGTGATTGATAAAGCTATAATCCACTCTCAGGATTAAACACCATCATTCATAGAAAGGACCTACGCTAGAGAGTGTACAAGAATTAGGACCTGGTCTACACTGGCAGAAAAAATTGATGCAAGATATGCAACTTCAGCTATGTGAACTGTCTGGCTGGAATCTATGTACCTTGCACTGATTTTCTGGAGCAGTTTCACAATGGGAGAAACACTCTTGTTGACTTCCCTTACTCCTTGTGACCGCAAGGAGCACTGGCACCGACAGGGGTGCCCTTAGCATTTGCTTTAGCAGGTCTTTACTAGACCTGCTAAATCAAACCCCAGAGGATTGATCACCAGAAGAACATCTGGCAAGTGGAGATGTGGACCAAGCCTTTCCCAAGGAAAACCCAGCTGTTGTCCTTCCTCTTAGTCCTAGGTCCTCATGTCACAAGTTATGTCCGACCCATGCTTGAAGAAATTCTGTTCTGGAGAGTAACTATAGGCCCTAGGGCTGTGTCTACACTGGGCCACTTATTCCGGAAAAGCAGCCGCTTTTCCGGAATAACTTGCCAGCTGTCTACACTGGCCGCTTGCTTTTCCCGGAAAGCAATGATGATCTACTGTAAAATTGTCAGTGTTTTTCCGGAAAAACTATGCTGCTCCCGTTCGGGCAAAAGTCCTTTCCCGGAAAACCTGTTCCGGAAAAGGGCCAGTGTAGACAGCACAGTACTGTTTTACGCCAAAAAGCCCCGATCGCGAAAATGACGATCGGGGCTTTTTTCCGGAAAAGCGCGTCTACACTGGCCACGGACGCTTTTCCGGAAAAAGTGCTTTTGCAGAAAAGCATCCTGCCAATGTAGACGTGCTTTTTCCGGAAATACTTATAACGGAAAACTGTTCCGTTTTAAGCATTTCCGGAAAAGGGTGCCAGTGTAGATGTAGCCTAGGTGATGTGTGATTCCTGAGCTGGGAGGCCCTTCCCCAACCCCTTCAAAGATCTAAAAGGAAAGATGTAATGTGCACACTGTTTCCATCCCTGAGCTTACCTCGTCGTCTGTCTGGATATAGTTAACACCATCTGGTTTTGCTGGAGTCTTGTAGCTGAAATAAGGGAAAAAGAGCTGATTCCTGTGACGATGAGCTGTGCGATTGCAAAGCAGAAGGGATGTTTTTGGTGGTGGTGTGTGGTGTTAATATTCTGGTGGGAAGGACAATTAAAAGTATTTTTTGTCAAAACGAAAACTGAACTGGGCACAGCGAGCTCTGCTTAAAGCCAGGCTGGA